GGGGGCATGGATGGAGGGAGGACGGATGGATGGAGGTGGTGGGCATGGATGGATGAGGAAGGGATGGAGGTGGTGGGCATGGATGGATGGAGGAAGGATGGATGGAGGTGAGCATGGATGGATGGAGGAAGGATGGGGGGAGATGGAGGTAGGGGAGGAAGGATGGATGAGATGGACATGGATGGGTGGTGGATGGATGGAGGAAGGATGGGTGGAGATGGAGGTAGGGGAGGAAGGATGGATGAGATGGACATGGATGGGTGGAGGAAAGATGGATGGAGATGGAGGAGGTAGGAGAAGAAGGATGGATGGAGATGGAGATGGGAGAGGAAGAGTGGATGGACATGGTGGACACGGATAGGTGGAGGAAAGATGGGTGGAGATGGAGGAGGTGGGAGAAGGATGGATGGACATGGCGGACATGGATGGGTAGAGGAAAGATGGATGGAGATGGAGGAGGTGGAGGAAGGATGGATGGAGGTGAAGGAGGTGTGAGAAAGGATGGATGGACGTGGCGGACATGCAAGGACGGAAGAAAGATGGAGGTGGAGAGGAAAGATGGATGGAGATGGAGGGAGATGGAGGAGGTGGAGGAAGGATGGATGGAGGTGGTGGACATGGGTGGATGGAAGAAAGATGGATGGAGGTGGAGGAAGGATGGAGGTGGCTGGATGGAGGATGGAGCAGGTGGGCCTGGATGGAGAAAGTCCACGCTCACGTCGGCTGAAGGTCGGCTGAGGAGCTCCAGGAGGCACGGGGTGGTGGAGGCGGATGGGCTGTCCCCACCGTGACTCGCTTGTCTTCTCCTCACCAGTGGTGGTGATGTGCATGCACTCGGTGCTGCTGGGCGGTGAGGAGCAGCGGGTGCTCCTGGAGAAGGCCGAGGACATGGGCATGACCGACGGCACCTACGTCTTCATCCCCTACGACGCCCTCACCTTCCCCCTGCCCTACCACCGCGTGCCCTACCCCGTCTTGGCCAACAACACCAAACTGCGCCTGGCCTACGACGCTGTCCTCACTGTCACCATCGACTCACCCGACGTCACCTTCCACGAGGCCCTGCACCAGGCCAAGGAGGCCTACGAGATCCCCGCGCACGTCGACCCCACCCAGGTGGGGTTGGAGGCACCTTCAAGGGGTTGGGGGGCACCTCCGTGGGGTGAGGGATACGTCCACGGGGTGAGGGACATGTCCATGGGGTGAGGGACACATCCACGGGGCATGGGGTGACAGACAGGTCCATGGGGTGAGGGACATGTCCGTGGGTTGAGGGACACGTCCATGGGATGAGGGACATGTCCGTGGGGTGAGGGACACATCTGTGGGGTGAGGGACACATCCAGGGGTGAAGGACACCTCCATGGGGTGAAGGACACATGCACAGGGTGAGGGACATGTCCATGGGGTGAGGGACACGTCCGTGGGGTGAGGGACACCTCTGTGGGGTGAAGGAAACATCCGTGGGGTGAGGGATACATCCATGGGGTGAGGGACACATCTGTGGGGTGAGGGACACATCCAGGGGTGAAGGACACCTCCATGGGGTGAAGGACACATGCACAGGGTGAGGGACACGTCCGTGGGGTGAGGGACACATCCATGGGGTGAGGGATACCTCTGTGGGGTGAGGGACATGTCCGTGGGGTGAGGGACACATGCAGAGGGTGAGGGACACGTCCATGGGGTGAGGGACACATCTGTGGGGTGAGGGATACCTCTGTGGGGTGAAGGACACCTCCGTGGGGTGAAGGACACATCCGTGGGGTGAGGGACACATCCGTGGAGTGAAGGACATGTCTGTGGGGTGAGGGACACATCCGTGGGGTGAGGGATACCTCCGTGGGGTGAGGGACACATCCGTGGGGTGAGGGACACATCCGTGGAGTGAAGGACATGTCTGTGGGGTGAGGGACACATCCGTGGGGTGAGGGATACCTCCGTGGGGTGAGGGACACATCCGTGGGGATGGGTTTGGGAGCCATCAAGGTCATGGGCTGGATGTGGGGTGGGGCAGTGGGTGGAGAATGTGGCCAATGGGAGTTGAGCGGAGGGGATTGTGGCTTGTAGGCGTCGGGG